TGTGTGTGTGTGTGTGTGTGTGTGTGTGTGTGTGTGTGTGTGTGTGTGTGTGTGTGCGCGTTTGTTTGTATGTCTGCCTTCATACAACTTTTCGTTTGAGTAAGGAGAAACACATCGACACGAACGCGGTTATTATGTGAAGGGAAATAGCGAAACAGAAAGAAGACGACAGACGGAACTAATAGAAGTAGGACCAACAAGTGACGCTCTTCAGCCACTGTCTACCTCATATAAACATCATCATCATCAACAACAACAGCAACAACAATAACAACAACAAAAAAGAAGAAACAACAACAACAACAACAGCAACGACAACAACGACAACAATAACAACAACAATTTCGACAACAACAACAACAAAACAACAACAACAGAGAAGAAGAAGAAGAACAACAACAAAAACGACCAGATACGCATGTACTTACAGCTCATATTTCTGGGCGAGTCCGCATGTCGCTCGGTGCCTGCTGTAGTATCGATTCTCCAGGTCTACCTTGGTCTCTCCGATAAGATCGTCCACTCCGATGAGATCCCAGTCGAATACCTGAACCGTCAACAGCGATTCCATGGGGAAAGTGGCTTCAAACTCGAAACATCTGCGAAAGCACAAATTTTGTTGGGGGTGTTCAGACAAACGGGGTTTAGCTTAGTTTTAGTAAGAGTTTTACGGCACTTGCAACACAATAAGGTCATACAAGTGCCGACGATTAAAGGAGTTACAAGAAAGTAACAAACACAAAAAAGAAGGAGGGGAGATAAAGACAATAGATGTTTGATAGGACAGAAGAAGCAAACCACACCAGAGCACCCGCCAACCACCCACAAAAGGAGGTTTGAGTTAAACAAGGTTTTAACGAACTGTTAAGAAAATACCAAATAAATAATCTTCACCTTTTAAATTCTTACTTTTATGATGGCTTGCATTAGCTCATCAAATGCACAACAAATTTTTTTAAAAAATATATATAGCAAAGTCAGTTTAAACTTGTTTCTATCTAAGATACAAACAAAAAGCGACAATACTTCAAAACAGATCTGGCACAATTGCTTGATTTCCTGGATGACTTACAGACTCGCATCGATGAAATGATTTTAAAAAAAGGTTTTGCAGCCCCCCTCCCCCCCTTTCTCCCTCATTTGAAAATTAGAAAAATCAGACATCTTCATTCATAGCGCGCTCATATGACCTTGTGCAGTTGCGAGCGTTCTCTCTCTCTCTCTCTCTCTCTCTCTCTCTCTCTCTCTCTCTCTCTCTCTCTCTCTCTCTCTCTGCCTTCGGTCTTTGGTGGCGTTCGAGGCAGTGGAGATTATAAATAAATTAATAGATGAATAAAATGAAATAAAGACATCTTCATTATGATAAGGCATACCGACAAGGTGAGACAGTCAGAAATGTATCACAAAGTTTGTCGTATTTAACAAAGGGAAAAAAAGGAGGGAACCCCTCGGTGACTAAACCAATAAAGTCTTTGGAAGAATTATGACTGGCGACTTAATATATATCAAGCTGCATATTTGCTTCATCTTTTCAAAGGTTGAATTCCTCTTTTTCTGTATCCTCGAAGTCGATGACTTCCGCGCTTCCCCGGAGAATGTCGCTGCTTTATGATCACAACAACAACAACAACAAACTTCCGCGCTTCCCCGGAGAATGTCGCTGCTTTATGATCACAACAACAACAACA